GAAGTCGTCACTAATCACTAATCTGATCAACGAGATAAGAACGACGAACGCGCACGCACGCACACGCACACACACGCGCCTCACACACACACAAACACACACACACACAAACAAAAAAAACACACAAACAAACACACACACCAGCAACAGAACACCTACTTACCATTAATACAGGTGTGGTCAACTTATGCCCCTCAATGATATCCTCTACTTTGTATCTCTCTATCACATCGGCCACGCTGAGATATCGTCATCATCATCGTCATCAACAACAACATCGTCATCATCACAAAAATTTTTATGACTGTTATCAAACCATCCATCACATTAACATTAATACTGTGATGATAATACTTATCAAAATCATCACTTATCAGGATCAAACCAACACACGCACGCACACACGCACACACACATAACATTATCAAACACACACACACACACACACACACACACACACACACACACACACACACACACACACACACACAAACAAAACACACACACACAAACAAAACACACACACACAGATACAGATACACACACACACATACATTCACACACGACGTAAAAACCTTTTAAAACACCTGCCACCCATAAAATAAACCCCAATGGACTGCTTTTGAACTTTGAACTTTTGTATGGAGCCCCCGCAGTAGAAGTAGATGGTAAAGTCACCCTTTGTTTTCTCGCTCCTCTTAACCAGCCAACTGTCCTGGCCACCTTCAAATTAATTAATTATAATTTAATAATAATAATAATTATTATTATTATTATCTCTTAATTAACTCCTAGAGGTCTCAACAACACACACACACGCACGCACGCACACACATAAACACACACATTTTTTTTTGTATGGTGAGTTATGTACGTAAGCTAAGAACTTCGTGGGGGCAAGATGACGATAAAATAATAATAATAAAAATAATAATAACAATAATATTAATAAATAATATAATAATATGAATGATAAAAAATAGCATTCTTGTCTACTTTTCGCAAGTTTTTCAGCGACTTCGTTGGAGGTGATGTCAGAATGGTACCACTTGTGTTGCTCAACTGGGTCGTCATCGTCACCCTGGCGTTATTGTCGTTGGTGTTGTTGTTGTTGATGTTATGGTGTTGTTAATGTTATGTTGTTTGTGTTGATGTTATGGTGCTGTTGACGTTATGGTGCTGTTGATGTTATGGTGTCGTTGGTGTTGTTGTTGATGTTATGGTGTTGATGTTATGGTGTTGATGTTATGGTGCTGTTGATGTTATGGTGCTGTTGATGTTATGGTGCCGTTGGTGTTGTTGATGTTATGGTGTTGTTGTATGGTGTTGTTGTTGATGATGTTATAGTGTTGTTGTTGATGTTGACGTTGCTGATGTTGTTGTTGTCATTGCTAGAGTTGATGCTGAGAGAAAGTGAAGGAGAAAGAGTGAAAGAGAGAGAAAGAGAGAGAGAGAGAGAGAGAGAGAGAGAGAGAGAGAGAGAGAGAGAGAGAGAGAGAGAGAGAAGAGAGGAAGTGAAAAAAATCCATTATAAAAAACAGAGAGAAAGAAAAGCAGAGGAAAGATAGATAAAATGAGAGAGAAAAAATGGAAAGAAAGGGAGAAAAAGATTGAAAAAGAGGAAGAAAAAGAGAGAAAGAAAGAAAGAGAAAGAGAGAGAGAGAGAGGGAGAGAGAGAGAGAGAGAGGGAGAAAAAAGAAACGAAAAACCCACTAGTTCTTCAGTTAGTTCTTGATTGATGATTCCACTTTTGTTGTTGAAGGTCGAGGTCACCCAGAGCCAACCAGCTCCCATGTCGTTTTTCACCATGAATATCTCTCCCTTCATAAAACTATTGAAAATGTTCGCGTTCGTGTGCATGTGTGTGTGTGCGTACGTTGGCAATGCTAAAGGTTCATTAGCCGTCATAAAATATAATGAAATGAATTTTTTTTTTCTGTAAACATTTCCGTATACATTTCAAAAACACGAGTGGAAGGATTGCTGCTGCTTGATGGTGATTTGTCATTTTGAAAAAAATAATTTTAAAAATCTCAAAACTTGTACGAATTTA